TGAACTGATATATACAGTGTCAGTGTATCTGAGTACATGTAAAGTAGTTTAAGACCCTCAATAAAATCCCCCAGGAGCATCCCTCTCTGAGAGATGGGTGACCAGCTACTCTTAAGACTAAGCAGAGCACAGGCTAGCACAGCATGGCACAGGCCAGGCCGGCACAGCACGGGACATGCCAGGTCAGCACAGCATGGCACAGCACAGGACAGCACAGCACAGGCCAGGCAGGCGCAACACGGGCCAATACGGTACAGCACGGCACAGGCCAGGCCAGCACACACGGATAGCAGGGCACAGGTCAGGCCGACACAGCACGGGACAGCATGGCACAGCACAGGACAGCACGGCATAGGCCAGGCCGGCACAGCACGGGACTGGCGCCATCTCGCTCTACTCAGTACACCCCCAGCTGCCCCTAATTGTTGTTTTAGTTGCTGGTCCATGGTATCACATGAGAGGATTGTAGACGTGTGCTGTTTGCCATCTGTGAATGGAGTGGGGGGGGTGGGGGGAGAGGGTTGGGTTGGTCCCCACCTGGTCTGTAATTTCCCCACAGACACTGCGCTGCACTGGCTTCCAGTATTCCAGTCAGGACAGTGATGATTATACTTGGCTGTGAATGTTATGTTTAAAGGAAACAGCAAATGGAACATTTCTGCTAATAAACAGAACCCAAGTTTAACAACTATTACTTACATATTCTAATTTATCATAAGCTAACACACACACACACACACACACACACACACACACACACACACAATCCCTACAGCAAACTGAAGAATTATGAAAAAAGGATGACAAAGAGTGACACAGAGAGCATGGCACAAAGACATAGAAGTACTAGCAGTATTTCTATAGGGGTAGCAGCCGGTCGCTGTATCACATGTGTGAGTAGCAGCTGAGACTTCCACTTAACCACCATGTCTCCCTGTTCCATCCCACGATAGTTTTAGTGCAGTAGAGTGTGGGTTCATCCTCCACAGATCGTTAAGGCATGTCATACATATTTAGCCAGTGTCTGCATGACGGGCAAGTCCCGTCAGGTCGGCTCAGGCATGTTTAATGCACAGGAGCGGCAACTTAGTGGGGAGCAGTACTCAGATTTATGGCCCACACTCTCCGTGGCACCTGAGATTAATGAAGGACCAGAACCACAGAGCACTTATGAGGGGGAGGGACATGGAGCACTGGGCACAGTCCATGTTAGGGATGGGGG